TTATATATATATATATTAATATATATATATATATATTAATATATATATATATAATCAATCAACCTTTATTTCTACAGGTAAATCCCATTGAGCCTCGAGGACTCATTTACAAGAGAGACCCGATTTCAACAAAGAAAGATGACAACAATGGACAACAGTAACAACAATAAGCAATTATAAAAACTCATACTACAGTTTTTTTTTTTTTTTTTTTAACAAATAGGATGGCTAAAAGGAAAAGTAACAAAACAAAAAACAGCTAGATTCCAAGACAAATGTAGAAAACTAAAAACAGGAACATGTCAGCATTGGACCCTGCCAGGAGTCCAACAGATTCTTAAAGACACTTAGAGAGGTCAAGGTCGAGAGCTTCAAATCTTTTTGTAAGATATTCCAAGAAACGGGAGCGGAGTAGGAGAAGGCCCTTTTGCCAAGTTCAGTCCTCACTGAGGGAACACTGCAGGTAATAATGTCCTGAGAGCGCACTCCGTAGCTGCACTCAAGCAGAGACATGTAGGAGGAGATGTATGAAGGCAACAGACCAAGAAGTGATTTAAAGATGAAAAAAAAAAAATATATATATATATATATATACATACACACACACACGCAAATGTATCTTTATACCTGCACAATATGTGGCTACTTTGTAAGATGTGTCCTTGAGGGAAGAGTGTAACCTGGATTAAAAGTGTGGATCATTGTAGTGAAGCCTTCTTCTTCAACCATTGATGTCAGTGATGATCATTTAAGGATCTTTCAGTGAAGACAGCTGCTTGATGTGGTGTCCATGATGTCTCCATCATGAAGGCTGACGTTGTTTGTTGTTGTTTTCTGGAATGAGAGAGTAAAAAAAAAAAAAATATATATATATATATATATATATATATATATATATATATATATGTATATAATGTATGTATGTATGTATGTGTATGAACAAAACGGCTCTACAGCGCCGTGAAAGACGCATAGTCGCGCGACCAACGAATCGATAATGAAATTCGTTGCCAACACTTTTAATAATCGATTTTTATCGATTTGTTGTTGCAGCCCTACTATGTATGCAACTGACCACCTTCAGTTAAAGAAACTTTGTAGTTTTTATTTTGCTTAAAAGTGAATTTCCTCAGATGATTGGGGTGGCCGAAGATTAATTTATGGGGGCCAAGACCACCTCTGGCCACCCCCTGGCTCCTCCACTGCACCTGGTAGTGGATAAAGTTGCTCCGTCCACTCGCCATGATTCGTCACGCACATTTTGCTGCCATAAAATTCAAAATGACTTTGTTTCCTTCAGAAATGGTAGAATTTCTCATCATGTGATGTTAATGCTCCACTGTGAATAAAATACAAGTTTATGTGAGTTCAAACCATTACTTTCTGTTTTTATGTATATTTTACACAAAATGATTGACAGATGATTCGAATTCTGACCAAGGAGTGGTCTCATGAAACCCAAATTAAAGCTGCTGCTGTTTCCTGCAGACATGAAGGAGCCGGTGTTCGAGTTCATAAGACCGCCTGTGTACCACCCTCCACAAGTTAAATTCCCACACGGGCAGCCGCTGCGCTACCTGGACCGATACAGAGACGGGAAGGAGCACACCTACGGCATCTACTGACCAATAGCTGAAATAACTTATTTCTCACGTCCAGTTTGGTTCATTACTGTAAAAATAAACCGTTTCTAACAGATCAGACTGTTTTCTGTTTTCACCTAAAACGTGTTTTGACATCTGGATATTTCAAAGATGAGTTTCAGTTTGAATCCATAAGATAGTCGTGTTTGCAGAAAGCTTAAATAAAAAGCAGGTTGAGTTTTTGGCTGCAGAGAATCTGCTGAATGATCTCGCATGAAACTTTGAAATAAATTCATGATTTTTCAAGACGTATTCCTCCTGACTAAGCAAAATAACTTTCCTATAAGCAAAATATAATTTTCTTGCAACAAGCAGTAATCTGATTTTTATTGACGTTAATGGAAACGCTAAACTGATTTTTCTGTCGTGCAGCGACAACAGACTGAAAAAATTCACCTCCAACAAAACAGCTTTGATTAAATATCCTGATGCATGCTCAATAATCCAGGTAGAAAAATCTAAAAAAGTTAAATCTGGTCTTCTGGACATTCAAAAAACAAAAAAAGCTTTGATTAAAGCAGCACAACGTTGGTACAGCTATTGCCTCTCAGCTGGAAGGTCGCCGGTTCAAATCCCGACTGAGGATACCCATACATCATGGGTGTCAAACTCAGAAGGGGGCCGAAATTAAAATCTTTTTCAAACTAAGGGCCAATTTCAGAATCTACATTAACTCCAGTTAGATACCAACATCTTTTTTTGGTCACAAGTTCCTCAAGAGTTTGGTCTCATTTGATGTTCTCTGTTGTACTTTCAACATCATAATGAAAAAATTTGAGTGATAAAAGTATTTTACGTTTAACATATCTTCCTGGGGGCCAGATAAGATGTCAACGAGAGCCACATTTGGGCCCCGGGCCTTGAGTTTGACACGTGCCATACTTTGAATAACGCTGCCATAATCTAACCACAACAACACAGAATAAGTTCACACTTTGGTGTTTAATTTTTATCAAAGAATAAGGAAAGAGAAATGTGTTTACATTATAAATGTGCAAAACACTAACAAAAAGGATAAAAGGTGCGCATGATGGTTCTGTCCATGTGATCATGATTTCCTCCTGCAGGAGGCAGAACACTCAACATCTTCCACCAGCTTTCATCGGCAGTGAACCGGTCCTCTGCAGTGAACCGGTCCTCTGCAGTGAACCGGTCCTCTGCAGTTAACCAGTCCTGCAGTGAACCGGTCCTCTGCAGTGAACCGGTCCTCTGCAGTGAACCAGTCCTCTGCAGTGAACCGATCCTCTGCAGTTCTACCAAAAACTGTATGTACCTCCCACCCGACCTGACCAGCAACAATGTTTAGTCTTCCACACTTTGCTGCTTCTCCGTCACCCACACCCACATTGAAACAGTGTCAACTCGCCCATGGCTTAAATTAAATAAACCAAAAATCAGCTCTAAAAATATAAACCATAAAAATCTGATTAAAATAAACAGTTACTTTACCAAAGCAAAATCATAAATTCATTAAATGTGGATTATTGAACATCAGATCTCTTTCCTCTAAATCCCTGTTAGTTAATGAACTGATAACTGATCATCATATTGATTTATTCTGTCTGACAGAAACTTGGCTACAACAGGAGGATTTTGTTGGTATAAATGAATCCACTCCTGTTAATTATTTAAAATTTCATGTTCCTAGAACAACTGGCCGAGGTGGAGGAGTAGCTTCTATTTTTCAGTCAGGATTATTGATTAATGCCAAACCAGTTATTAGTTATGATTCTTTTGAATCGCTGTCCCTCAGTCTTTCTCATCCAAAATGGAAATCAGAAAAGCTACTTTTACTCGTTGTTATACATCATCCACCAGACGCTTACTCTCAGTTTTTATCTGAATTCTCTGACTTGAACTGACTTACTACTAAATACTGATAATGTCATAATAATGGGGGATTTCAATATTTATGTAGATGTTGAAAGTGATATCTTAAGCATAGCCTTTAATAATTTAATTGAGTCTATCAGAAGTGGGCCGCCAGTTGAAGGCCCTGCAGTAAAGGGTTCATGAGACTAGCCAACCTCCCAAGATGTGGACGCAAGAGGAAATGCAACCCCAGTTTGTTTAGACAAATAGTGTGAACGGTAGAAACAGGCAAAAACCATTTGAGCTGAAGATGCGTCACTGTAATCGAACCATTTGTCACATTTTCATTAATGACTCCTTGGAAGAAGACGGAAGCTCAACTACTGACTGGAATTCACCAAAATGCAGGTGGACAAGCGTCGATGTTTCTGGGACTGAAGAGACAAAACAAGCTTTAGGCTCCGATCACATCATACTGTATGTGTTTATTTTTATATTGTGGAAAGGGTCCCAAGAAATTCATCACTGTCAGTCGTAAAAATAATTATTTTGGGGAAAAAAAAAGAATAAAACATTTAATTATTTCTGTTATTATTATTGAGTTTTATCAATCTTGTACATTTGTGTGTCCAACATTACAAAATAATAAAACTAATGATTTCAGTTTTATGGATGCTGTCTGTCAAAGTATACCACACATTTTTAATATCTATATCTAAATAAGACAACATGTATTGTACTGCTGATGTGCACTTCACTGCAACAGCTTTGGTATTCTATTCTTCATATGCGTGTTTCAGATCATACAAATTTAAACATGAGACATGCTACAAATACCCACTGACACTGTCAAAGAGGTTTTTACTCAGCAGTCAGAAATAACAGCGTGTGACCTCTGAGTGACCTCCCTGTGCACACGCCAGCATCTCTTGATTACTGAACTGCTGCTTGGTTTAGTAACATGTCATGGTTATGTAGCCAAGTTATATTTAAACTTAAATTAGTTTTCTGTTGAGCACTGCAGGCTGCTCACACACAGCCACAGTAACAAACAGACGCAGCATTAGTGTTAATATGATCCTGGGAAAAGGTTTGAACAAAGTAAAAGCTGAATAACAATAAAAAAGGATTATGATGTGATAAGAATTCATTCAAACTTTATTTCGCCTGGTTAGTCTCATTGAGTCACGAGGACTCATTTACAAGAGAGACCTGAATAAATAAAACAAACGTCTTTTTAATCCCTGCTCTCTGATGGTATGTAAGCAGTGTTGTAGTTTTCCAGTCTCAATACAGTTTGTATTTTCAGTCATGATTGGGCCGCCTTCAGCATTTCTTCCACACTCAGCAGTTTTTCTCTGGGTTTCCCACAGGCCTCCCCTCTCCTCATCTCCAAGCTGTCAATCTTCTCCCACTTTGAAAAAGTCACTGGAGTCACTCCTACACAGGAAACAGAACAAAACAGTTGGGTTGATGGCTTGGCTCATGTTGAATACAAACGAAAAGACAATTAAAAATTATTCATCCACTCATCATCACATCAGTAATGGGATTTTAATGAGGTTTTTGAAATGTTCTTTCTCCAGAGTGGACTGATTGTACAACATTCAACTTCAATGATTTTTAAAAACAAGAAATGTAAAAGTTGCTAGAAGAATATTTACCTTTACAAAACCAAGACCTATTAACTTCTCAATAAAAACACAATTAGCTGTTGCTGTTAGTTTTTTAATGCCAGCATTGATCAAATCCAACTTTGTTTAAAAAGCACTTCATAGTGTGGTACATAACATGCTCACAGTTATACTCACAGCTTTGGTGCAGATAAAAATAAACATCAAAAAGCACTAAGTTAGCAGATGAGAACCAGTCTGTGGGAGGAAACCTGAGTACCTGGAGAAAATCCACGTATGCACGAGGAGAACATGCAAACTCCACATACAGGTCCTTCTAAAAAAATTAGCATATTGTGATAAAGGTCATTATTTTCCATAATGTAATGATAAAAATGAAACTCATATATTTCAGATTTATTGCACACCAACTGAAATATTTCAGGTCTTTAGTTGTTTTAATACTGATGATTATGGCATACAGCTCATGAAAACCCAAAATGCCTGTCCCAAAAAATTAGCATATTTCATCCCACCAATGAAAGACAAGTGTTTTTAATACAAAAATTGCCAACCTTCAAATAATCATGTTCAGTTATGCTCTCAATACTTGGTCGGGAATCCTTTTGCATGAATGACTGCTTGAATGCGGCGTGGCATGGAGGCAATCAGCCTGTGGCACTGCTGAGGTGTTATGAAGGCCCAGGATGCTTCGATAGCGGCCTTAAGCTCATCCAGAGTGTTGGGTCTTGCGTCTCTCAACTTTCTCTTCACAATATCCCACAGGTTCTCTATGGGGTTCAGGTCAGGAGAGTTGGCAGGCCAATTGAGCACAGTAATACCATGGTCAGTAAACCATTTACCAGTGGTTTTGGCACTGTGAGCAGGTGCCAGGTCATGCTGAAAAATGAAATCTTCATCTCCATAAAGCTTTTCAGCAGATGGAAGCATGAGGTGCTCTAAAATCTCCTGATAGCTAGCTGCATTGACCCTGCGCTTGATAAAACACAGTGGACCAACACCAGCAGCTGACATGGCACCCCAGACCATCACTGACTGTGGGTGCTTCACACTGGACTTCTGGCATTTTGACATTTCCTTCTCCCCAGTCTTCCTCCAGACTCTGGCACCTTGATTTCCGAATGACATGCAAAATTTGCTTTCATCCAAAAAAAGTACTTTGGACCACTGAGCAACAGTCCAGTGCTGCTTCTCTGTAGCCCAGGTCAGGCGCTTCTGCTGCTGTTTCTGGTTCAAAAGTGGCTTGACCTGGGGAATGTGGCACCTGTAGCCCATTTCCTGCACACGCCTGTGCACGGTGGTTCAGGATGTTTTTACTCCAGACTCAGTCCACTGCTTCCGCAGGTCTCCCAAGGTCTGGAATCGGCCCTTCTCCACAATCCTCCTCAGGGTCCGGTCACCTCTTCTCATTGTGCAGCGTTTTCTGCCACACTTTTCCCTTCCCACAGACTTCCCACTGAGGTGCCTTGATACAGCACTCTGGGAACAGCCTATTCATTCAGCAATTTCATTATGTGTCTTACCCTCTTGCTTGAGGGTGTCAATGATGGCCTTCTGGACAGCAGTCAGGTCGGCAGTCTTACCCATGATTGCAGTTTTGAGTAATGAACAAGGCTGGGAGTTTTTAAAAGCCTCAGGAATCTTTTGCAGGTGTTTAGAGTTATGTCGTTGATTCAGATGGTTAGGTTAATAGCTTGTTTAGAGAACCTTTTCATAATATGCTAATTTTTTGGGACAGGCATTTTGGGTTTTCATGAGCTGTATGCCATAATCATCAGTATTAAAACAATTAAAGACCTGAAATATTTCAGTTGGTGTGCAATGAATCTGAAATATATGAAAGTTTCATTTTTATCATTACATTATGGAAAATAATGACCTTTATCACAATATGCTAATTTTTTGAGAAGGACCTGTAAACAGCCAGGAGGCAATCCTTCAACTACTGTGCTGCCAATACTCAGAGTTGTACTACTTCTGCCTGAACGCTCTTTTATACTTGCAGTTATACTATTATATATACTCACAGTTATACTAATCTATACTCACAGTTACAGTATACTATTCTATTCTTGGAGTTATACTCTTCTATGCTCACAGTTATACTCATATACTCAGAGTTATACTCTTCCATGTTCACAGTTATACTCTTATATACTCAGCATTACACTCTTCCATGCTCACAGTTATACTCTTATATACTCAAGAGTTATACTTTTCCATGCTCATAGTATACTCAAGAGTTATACTTTTCCATGCTCACAGTTATACTCTTATATACGCATCATTATAATCTTCCTTGCTCACAGTTATACTCATATACTCAGTTATACTCTTATATACTCAAGAGTTACAATTTTCTATGCTCACAGTTACTCATATACTCAAAGTTATATTCTTATATATTCAAGAGTTATACTTTTCCATGCTCATAGTTATACTCTTATATATGCAGCGTTATAATCTTCCTTGCTCACAGTTATACTCTTATATACTCAAAAGTTACAATTTTCTATGCTCACAGTTATACTCATATACTCAGTTATACTCTTCCATGCTCATAGTTATACTCATATACTCAGCGTTATACTCTTTCATGCTCAGTTATACTCTTCCATGCTCACAGTTATACTCATATACTCTGCGTTATACTCTTCCATGCTCAGTTATACTCTTTTATACTCAGTTATACTCTTCCATGCTCACAGTTATACTCATATACTC